TTGGATCACTATCTCGAGTGATTAGTGAGACGATAACATCTTATATTCTTGAAACCGAGATGTGTGAGTTGTATCTTGCTGATCGGTTGCACATTGATAATATGTAAACGCACCAGTAACTTGGTGTTATAAAACATATTGTTGTGTGTAAATTCAGTGAGTGAGTGCAAGCGAGCATTGTATCAAAGTTTATCCGTTCCTTTTATCCAAAGTAGGATAAAAGCGATATCTTTGGGCCCCTCGATGGTTTAGTGATGACATACGTAAATGCTCGGCCGGGCTAGGACTAATTTGATTTGTTCAATTAGTCTGTCGTCATAAATCGGAAATCGAGATATAGTACAAAGAGAATGATTTGAAATCATATCTCATACGATATCTAGAATGGAGGAATATATGATCCCTTATCTAAGGACACGCGTATCTGATATGATCAGAGTTGACAGCGGCTTTGGAAAGCTACGATTGCAGATCGGGATCTGAAGTCATACGCAGAATAGTTGTTAGACTTATCCAAGTGGGAGACTGTTGGATTAGTGTCTAAGTCCATAACTATTTTGGTATGTACTTGACCCGATGGTGCATGGTCCTTTTGGGTTGCCTTCACCAAAGCAACTTGATAGGATGAATTTATGGAGAGTAAGGATTAAATATGATTTATTAATGTATTATGAGAATAATATATTAAAGGAGAAATCATATTGTTTAATTAATATTAGTCAATAATTAATTGGTAATTAGTTTTGTGACTAAAAGAGATTAATTAAACTTAAGGGACTGGAATTGTAATTATAGGATAATTGCAATTTGGGCCATGGATTGCCTTATATTAAGGGATGGACGAATTCTAATGGGAAACCCATAAGGAAATCGTCCATGGGCTTAATTAAAGGAGTCTATGGGTTGCTTAGGGCTTAAGCATCCAAATTAGGGTTTCCTTGTTAGATAACCCTAATAGCCCAACTATACAAAGACCCCTTAAGGCTCAAAAACGTGGCTAAGCTTCTTGTAAGGGTTTACACACCTTTTTGGCAGCCTCCATCCTCTCTCCTCTTCATCCTCTTGCTTATGGTGTTTGTGAGCCATTAGAGGAGTGACACTTGTGACTCTAAGCCTTCCAAAGTCAATACAAGGAGGAATTGGGATTGTTATTGCTACATAACAATCAAGGTAACACTATAAACTTATTCTCATGTTAATATGATTGTATGTATGCTAGAATTAGGGTTTATAGTCTTGGATTCAAAGCATGTACAATAGAGAAACCTAGATCCGAGCATTAGGGTTTGTATGAGCACATAGGATGGCTTATGACCAAAACCCATCACAAATATCCATGGAAATCAACTTGCCGATCCAACAAAAAGTTCAATTTCAAGAACCAAATTGTTATGAAGTGAAATTTTCTGAAGTAATTATGAAAACTTAATTATAGAAGATGCGACATGACTGAATTAGCAAATCTCATAGAAATTTTGAATCGTGAACTGGATTTTGCGAACGAAAAAGCAGATAATTGATCAACAATTGGACAACGTTTTGAATCGAATGACCAGTAACAAATGGATTATATTGGGCTAACAAATGAACAATGACAGATTATCATTTTGGTCCTAAACATATGGATTAATGAATAGTAAACGTGTTTGGGTTCGATTAATTGAAAAAAAAATTAATTGGATCAACAAATTTGGCATGAAAAGAAAATAGATCCAATGGAGAGACTCACCAAAGATTTCAAATCTTTCATTTCATTGTTCTTGAAATAGTTGTTTAAACCTCCAAGATTAAGCTCTGATACCAAATGTAGGATCCCATGGAAATAACAATTGCGGAATTAAGAAATACATAATTGAAAAGACACAAATTAACATTTAACACAAGTATATAGATAATGGAGTAGTACAAAATTTATATAAGCATGTGCATGCTTGTATACAATACTCTCTCTATCTATCTAACTCTAAACTACTCATTTATACAAAATATGGAAGCTCTCTCAACCTACAAAGAATACTAAACTAGTATTTATAAGCTAGCTCAACCCATAAGGCCTTCTACATGAGAAGCCTTCCACCTTCTCTAAGACCTTCACAATCACCTTCTATATTGAATAAGGGAAAGCCTTATACATCATCATCCCATAGAGAGCTTTGCACCCTAAAAAATGTACCATTGGTGGCCCTAATGACGGTGAAGCTGAAGTTGAATTTCCAGAAGATGTTATCGTTCGCTATACATATAACCATATCCATTCAATTGTATCCACCATTTATTCATCCTTTGAAAACCATATTGATGATACATGGTATTTTCAAGATAAAGCTATTTTGGTCCCAACAAATGAAGAAGTCGATGCTATCAACGACTACATGTTAGAATTTATGAAATATGAAGGGAAAACATATATGAGTTTAGATTATTTATGTGAGATCGAGTCACACGAATCTTTTGAGGAATCAATATACTCTCTAGAGGTGTTGAATGGTTTTAAGGCTTTTGGAATTTCCAGCCATAAACTTACACTAAAAACAGGTGTTCCAGTCATGTTACTTCGTAATACCGACCAAACCAAAAGACTGTGCAATGGTACTAGATTACAAATTATAAGGCTTGGAAGACACGTCATTGAACACCGAATCATATTTGGTAGATTCTTCAATGAGACTATTTATATACCTTACATGAAGTTAACTCCGTCTGATAAAAGAATCTCATTCCATTTTTATCGGAGGCAATTCCTCGTAGTTGTTTGTTTTGCTATGACCATCAACAAATGTCACAAACAATCATTATCAAATGTTGGATTATACTTTCGTAGACCCGTCTTTACTAATGGTCAGTTATATGTAGGACTGTAAACGAATTGAACGTTCGGCGAACCGTTCGTGAACTGTTCGGCGGGAAGTTCGTTTATTTAATAAATGAACGAACATGAACAAAAATTATCGTTCGTTTAGTTAAATGAACGAACATGAACAATGGCCTCGTTCGTTCATTTATGTTCGTGAACGTTCGTTTACGATGTTCATTTATGTTCGTTCGTTTAAGTTTATTTATATTCATCTATATTCAATTATTTTTTATTATATTGCTATATTATATGTTCGTTTATGTTCATATATGTTTAATTGTGTTTTTTTTTTTTTTAAATCTTTGTTCGTTTATGTTTGTTCGTTTAGCATGTTCACGAACATAAATGAACGAACATGAACAAAGTAATTTGTTAAACGAATGAACATGAACAAGAAAATCTTGTTCGTTTATCCGTTCGTGTTCGTTTGTTGTTCGGCTAACTTAAACGAACGAACATGAACAAGACCTTGTTCGTGTTCGTTTGGTTCGTTTACAACCCTAGTTATATGTAGTTGTTTCTCGTATCACAAGTACAAAATGTTTGAATGTACTCATATGTGACAAGGAAGACCATTCAACTAATAAAACAAAAAATGATATGTATAAAAATGTCATTCAATGATTATAAATATTTACCGATTTCGTTGTATTTTCTAGACACTTTAATATTTCCAATAACATTAATTTTTTTTAATTATTGTACAACATTTTTATACCTTTATATATATATATATATATATATATATATATATATATATATATATATATATATATTAGAGAGAGAGAGGGAGAGAAGGGTTCAATTGAGAAAAAAAAGGGTTGAGAATAGGGGAATCATTCTCAGTCACTCATTCATTTTTGCCGCAAAAACCTCCGTCGTACCAGCAAAAATGGGAAAGGAATAGACATGTGTTTTCCAACAAAACATGTTTCCTTAAACTATGCTAATCATTACCTTAATATATACAAAAACATAGTTTTTTCGTTTTTTTTTTTTTAATTTTTAAGAAGTTATTTTTATCGAAAAATGATTTTAAATATACTAAAATTCATGATTTTTTATTCTTTACAAATAGACATCCATATTGATATAGTTTTAAGATAAAATAAAAAAATTATTTTTTTTATATTTTCAGCTATCGTTATTCATAAGTGAATAAAAATGAATCAGATTTTTACTACAGCACATTCGTTATTCAGTTATGAATAAAAACTATATATATATATATATATATATATATATATTATATATATATATATATATATTTACAATTTAAGTATCATTCATATATGAATATAGCATATAATAAACATAGTATATTCATATTTAAATATTAAACGATGTATTCACTTATGAATATTACATAGTATATTCACTTGTGAATATTAGATGGTATATTCACTTATGAATATTAGATAATATTTTCATATCTTAATATTACAGAGTATTACATGGTATATCACATATGAATATTACATAATATATTCATTTGTGAATATTAGATGATATATTCACTTATGAATATTACACAGTATATTTACATATGAATATTACACAGTATATTCACATATGAATATTACACACTATATTCACATATGAATATTACACACTATATTCACATATGAATATTACACATTATATTCATATATGAATATTACACACTATATTCACATATGAATATTATAATTTATTTTCACAAATATATATAATTTTTATATGTTATTCACATATGAATATAATGATCCAAACAAACACACCATACATTTCTATCCAAACAAGATTAAACAATAGCAAACAAACATCCATGAAATCATTGTCATCTGTTTTCTTTCATGTCAAATGAAACAAACCAAACTCCCTTCGTTATCGTTGATTTCAAGTCAAACCCCTTTCTCCATCTGTTCATGATGAACACACCGAACCTGATCAAATCCTTTTCCCCCATCTACTCACACGTTGAACATCGATCACCCAAACACCCACCTAACTGATTTACAATCAAAATAAAAGAAACGAGAAGAGGTCCGTACCAATTGAAGCAGCAACTGCCCTATCGAGATCCTTCAGCACTTCCCGTCGATTATCACAGCCAAAAGCCAGCATCTTCTAGACTATTTCCGTCGATTGGAACCTTGGTTTCCCTTTATGCCTTGGCTCGTTGACCCACTAACACCGATGCCATCTTCCCTCGCCTCCCTCTCTCTTCATTTATCGCCGTCAGGAAGCAAATGAGAGGCAACGGACATCCGACCCAATCTCCTAGCAAAACCAAACCCTCGCTTCTGGCTTCTTTCCGATCGCAATCTCCTAGCAAAACAAAACACCTCCTCCTTTGGTCTAGTCAAAACCACGGAGACCATCTCAGTTTGCGAGTCGGGCGATGAACCTCCGTGCTTCTCCCCCTTAATCAGACGAAGACGAGCACCGGAGAATCTTCACCTTGGTCTCCTTTGCTACCGACGACGGGAGGTGAACGAAGGGTTGCTGCAAAGCCTGCTGTGTTCGTTCATCGATTCACTTCTTGTTTTCCTCTCGCCATCATCTGCTTCGTATCCCCTTTACGACTTTACCCAATCAAAAAAAAAAAAAAAACGGATTGATGATGGTTTAATCGAAGAAATCTGGATGATTGTTGAAAGTTGGAGAAGAAATTTGGATGATGAACGATGAATGGGTTTGAACTACAGATACGTATTTGATATTAAAGGTTGTTCTCATATTTACAAGTTTGTCACCGTGTCTTTTTATGCTTGAATAAAATGAGTGGCTGAGAATGATTCCCTCATTCTCAACCTTTTTTTATTTTCTCAATTGAACCCACCTCTCTCTCTCTCTGTATATATATATATATATATATATATATATATATATATATATATACTAGTCATTACCCGCGCAAAACGGCGGACGACAAATAGTTTGTTTCGACAATTAATTTCTTTTCGATGGAGAATGATTATTTTCAAATCAATCATTAGTTTGTGTTAGGAAACATGTCATATTAAAAATAAAGAAAATTAATGAAATGACCAAAACCTTGGAAGAGAAGATTTATAGGAGTTTGTTTAAATTTTAATATTATTTTATTAGTGATTAGTTGTACAATTAGCTTAATGATTTGGACGTCTTAAAAAAAATATTATTATATTATTCAATCTATTTTTAAAAATAGTGGTATTTGTTTTATAAGATACTATATATATATATATATATATATATATATATATATATATCAAGTTTGTAAAAAACGTTTGACGTTAGCTAGTCGGTGGACTGGGGTCAAGGGATTAATCGGCTAGGCGGAGATTTACCGGGGGATTAATCGGAAACCATTAATTGCTAATTTGTTGAATTTTAAAAAATTAAATATGACTAATATTAAATCAAAGTACGTAATGATAACAAAAAGGTTAATATTATTAATACAACACTAATCATGTCTCAAATAGTTTCCATTGAAATAAAACTTCTTCAAAATATTAAAATTTCATCGTTTTATAATGTTTCACTCATTATGTATGCAGGGATTAATCGCTAGGCACCCTCTAATCGGTCGAATAGTGCCTAAGGATTAATCGAAGATTAATCGGGACCTAGTTAGGATTTTTACAACAATGATATATATATATATATATATATATATATATATATATATATATATATATATATATATATATATATATATATATTATGTGTTGCCCTGCGTTTTCCGCATGTTATAATCTAGTTTTTAATATATACTAGATTATAACCCGTGGAAACCACAGTTATAAAAATAATTAAAATTTTATAATAAAAACTCATAATTATTAATTAAATTGGTATAAAGCAAATCAGAAAATTAAGGTGTTGAAATAAACATATATGAAAAAATATAACAAATTACAAATGAAAATTAATAATAAAGTTTTATTACAAATAATAATAAAAGATGTAATATAAAAATAATATTTTATAAAGTATTTACGAATTGTATTTATTGAAATTTGAATGGAATTTTTTTAGTTAAACTTAATGACATTTTTGGAATAAAAGTATGAATTACAATAATAATTCTAAATGTGGTATCTGTCTTAATAACACATTTTCCAAAAGATATTACTTGTAGTCAAGTACCATTACATAATTCATTTTTCTGATCAATGTTTGTCAATAATATAATTAGAACACAGACTTTTGAAAAATAACTCATCATTTGGCATTCGTGCGATTTTTAAAACATTGTGAGTACAAAATTTGCATCCAACTTATCATGAACAAACTTAGATTGGGAGAGAGTATCTAAAATTAAATATTCTATTTGAAATCTTGAATATAATAATTTAGAGACACAAATTGATTAAAAGAAAATTCTTAATAGGAATAAGTAATATTAATGATTTCTAAGATGATATTTTCAAAATAGAACTGTATAAAATGATGTATAAGTAGGTATTTTAATTTAAATAATAAAACAATATTATTCAAAATAACAAAAAGATAGTACAAATCACAAAATTTACAAGAATTGATGCGTATAAAGATTAATCATTGTAAATGACTTGATATTAAAAAATAAACACTAAAATTCAAATATATTTCAATGGGAATGATGTAATTAATTAATGATTTTTTCAAAGTACGATGTTACAATATGAAGAAATAAAAGTATGAAGTTATAATAAACATATCAATATAAGTACATTGCCATTTGTTGCCAATTATTTAAAAGATATGCCATTAAATAGAACTGAACAAAGGTTTACAGAACTAATAAGCTCTAAATAGAACTTTTGTTAAAAAAAACTGACTTGTTTCAAGTTTCTGAAGCACCACCTTTAGATGGAAACTGTTTAGAGGAATTAATTTGAGATTGTACAACCTGTTATAAACAAACTCCATAATCATGATTCTCCTCCATATACTTCAATTTTAACACAATATCCACAATATTATATTTCATATTTACTTTCATAATTATAAGCCATCTCCCAGTCTCCAATTTTACGCACCACAACTAAGAGATACCATAATGTAAAAGAGTGCCAAATGCAAACCTGCTTAGCAGTTGTGCTCTTAACATAAGAAAGTGGACAAAAGTTTAACCAATTTTACTTTCATTTTTATTTTGAAAATCTTCTTAAAGATGTCCTATATGATATTACAATCAAACTTTTAATAGTTCTTTCATGTATTATGTTTATTTTAATTTTATTTACACTACATTTTTTCAAAGTTATTTTAATAATTACCTCATCCTACAGAGAATTGTATAAATCGTCCTTCTTTCTTGGCTTCGACAAACAACAATTCCATTTTCTACATTTTAATCTAACAATAACTCTTACTAATAAAAATGATTAAACTACAAGTTATCTTAAAAATGTATGGTTATAAGAGTGAATGCCAAATCTCATTACTAATAGTTACCTTATACATTATTTGTGTCGATATCTACTAAAAGCGAGGCAACCAATTGAAATTAATATGTATAAATTAGACCTTAACAGCAAGTCCAGACTCATGTTGTCGATTGGCTTCAAATCGAGATATAGAGAATTTTGAGTGTGGATTCGAGATGTGTAAACCTTGTAATTCCCTTTATCGTTTAGTACCTATAAACTTGGAAAAAAAAAAATCAAAATTGTTAAATTACAAAAATGAAAAGATGAAAATATAGTTTTACCTTAAATCGAGAGAAGTCAGAAGTGCAGAAGATGTATAACATGTAAAGACTAATTTGGCCAAATACTCACAATATTTTCAAAAAGACACCTACTTTCAAAAAAACAAAATGATGATTGGGTCAATGAAGAAAATGAAATACCGGTGAAGCTTTAAGCTACAAAAAGCCCTAATCTCAAAATAAAATCTGGAAGAAGGAGAGATGAATAAACGACTACATCTACATGATTTGAAGAAGGAAACCGATGGTGAAATATCTTCTAGAGAGAGCACAGGTAGATAAAAGAAATGTCAGACGATATAAAAATAGCAGCGGTGAAATCACAACCTAGAGAAATCCCTAATTATATCAACATTTTTGTTTGCCCTTTAATCACTGTGAATATATTATGATGACAATCTTTTCATCGTCCAAAACCTTAGATAACCAAATTGATGTGTATAAAGATTAATTATAAAAAGAATGAAAAAGAAAAAGATGAAGAAAATCTTAACAGGGTATTTTTATTTTACCTAACTGAGTTTATGGTATGAAAGAAATGCCATCAAAGTCAAAGAAACAAAGAAATCCATATCTTCTTCGTTTCATTAGCCATGGTCTTTACCAGGAGATGAGAAGTCGAACCAAAAAACGGAGAAGGAGATCCATGGAGTATATGAACTTGCCCAATACTTTTTACAGCATATGGCGTATTTTCTTCCTAAATCAAACATCAAACTCAATTTTTTTTATAGAGAAAATGACAAAAATAGTCATTTATACCGATGGCATTACAAAAACAACAAAAAAAAAATCGAAATTACAAAAATAGCCAACGATTTCACAGATGGAGATGCCCCATCTGCGAAATGACCTTCTCATCTGCGAAAGTAAAAACACCTAAAGCACAGTTGTGCTTTTTGTGCTTGTACTTTCGCAGGTGGTTTTAATTTTTTTTTTTTTAATTTTTTTGCTGTATAAATAGGGGTAAAATCGCAGATGGAATAGGTCCATCTGCGATTTACTCTCACTCTATCTGCGAAATCGTGGTATTTTTTTTTTTTTTTTTTTTTTTTTTTTTTTTTTAAGTTTGACTATGAAATGAATTGGTTTGACTATAAAATCATGTTGCTATATAAAAAGTTTTGTAGAAAAAATATCATTTTGGTTGTTATTTGTTTAGGAACTCTCTCTACAATTTGCTCAAAAAATGATTGAATATTTAGTTTGTCTTGTAACCGGTGGGAGATGGCAAGTTAATGGAACTAATTTTGAATACATATGTCCACAGGTAGGTATTTCTGAACTTGCTTTGATATTCTCTGAGTATATTAGTTATAGTGATTTTGTATCTTTGGTAATAAGCAAAATTGGTTTGTTAGACAAATATAGAATTAGTCTTCGTTTCCACCATCCTGAATTAAATTATTATATAACTATAGTTGAAGACATGGATGTTAGAATGTTGATAAACATAATCAAATGTAGTGGAGGAAGGGCTGTGAAAGTGTTTGTGGCGGTTGATGACGTTGAGGAGGTTAATGGGGTGGTGAAATTGGAAACCAGCTTGTTGGTTATTTATGCAGTTATAAAGGGAGCAACGATCCGATAGGTACTTTCAATACTCCTAGTGTACCTCAGTTTCACAGTGTTGCTGAAAATGTTAATGTTAGTTATTCACCTATTCACTATGTGGATCCTGAGAATTACAAGTCTGTTGGTGATGATGATGTTGGTACATATCTTAATCATGTGGGTGGTCGTTGTGATGATGCTGCCGAACAAGAAGTTAAACTTATGAATAGGCGTGTGGTAGATAAAAGTAAAAAGAAAAAAAATTCAAGTCAAAAAAATGAAAAAAATCATGTTTACGGGCATTATGTTGATGTTGGTGATGTATGTTTGGATATAACCGAGCTACAAAGCAATTCCGATAGAGATGAGTTGGTGATGAAGTTAAAGCTAAGTTTCCCGATAACCTTTTTCACGGTATGCCCCTTGTACCAGCATGGCCAGTTGATATTAATGAAGATATCCCAACACAAATGGTAGACATGAATCTTCAAAAGATTCAATGTGAGAGTATACTTAAGAACAAAGAACTTTTAAAGCGGTGTATTGGTAAAAAATGTCTTCGAGAAGGTTTCCAGACGAGGACAAGTAGATCCACCAAATCAAGGTATGAAGTTGTGTGTGTTTCGAAAAATTGTTCTTGGTTACTAAGAGCAAAAGCAATTAAAAATTCTGATGGACTTTTCCAAGTGAATAAATTTGTTGATGTACACACATGTTCTTCAACATTGTTGCAACCTAATCATCGGCAAGCAAACAAATATGTTTTGGGTGAATATGTTACTGATGTTTTGGCTGAAGACTATAGTAGAGTTTATCGGGGAAAAGAAATTGTTAATGATATGAATGCTCAATTAAATATCAATATCTCATACCATCAGGCATGGCGTGCGAAGCAATATGCATTGTTGTCGTTAAGGGGTACGAAAGAGGATTCTTTACCAAACTTCCGGCGTATTGTCACAACTTGCTCAAACATAATCCGGGTACTGTCACACATATTAAAACAGATGCGGATGATCGCTTTGAGTTTTTATACGTCGCACTCGGTTGCTCGGTTAGTATTATCATATTATATTAATTTTTTAATATTTATTTTGATGTATTTGAATAGATATACAATGTATTGTAGGTACGCGCTTTTGTCAATTTTTGTAAGCCGACCCTAGTAGTAGATGGAGCTCACCTAAAGGGCGAGTTCAAAGGTACCATGTTACTTGCAGTTACTAAGGACGGACAAAACCAAATATTACCGGTTGCATATGGTATATGCAAAAATGAGTGTACCGATTCTTGGACATGGTTTTTTCAAAAACTACATGATTGCATAGGAAATATGCAGGAGCTTACAATTATATTTGATAGGTCTCCAACTATAGCAACATCCGTTGCCAACATTTTTCCTCACGCTCATCATGGAATATGTGGTGTCCATTTGTATTTCAACATAGTATCTAGATTCGGCAAGAGTAAGACGGTTAAAGGAATTTTTTTGGAGGCGTGTAGGGCGTACACAGTTGATGCTTTTGATGCTGCCATGGATGTTATGAAAAAGATAAAAGAACCAGTATGGGAGTACTTAAAAAGTATAAATCCAGAAACCTGGTCAAGGGCACATTTTAAAGGGAACCGATACAATCTTATGTCGTCCAACAATGCGGAGTCTATAAATGCATTATCTAGACACGCACGTAAGGTGCCAATACTTATGTTGATCGATTTTTTTCGTGCTACAATGCAACAATGGTGGTTTCAAAGACGTAACTTTGCAGGTATTAAGTAAATTTGTAATATTAATGTTTTATTAGTTTTGATGTTATTGATCTTAACTTCTTCATTTTGGTTGTTTTTTTAGCGGAAGCAACAACAACACTTACCCCTTGGGGGGATGAAGTTGTAAAAGAAAACAAGAAAACCTTTACCAAATGGGATGTTCGCATGATCTCAAATACGAAATGCGAGGTCAAAAAGGGGGCACAAAATGTGATTGTTGATTTTCAACATATGACATGTACATGTAGGCATTGGCAACTTGATGGGATACCTTGTGGTCATGTCATAAGATGTTTAACAGTGAACAATTACCAAGACTGCTCGAGGTTTGCATTAAATGCTTACCTTACCGAAACACTGAGGAAAACATATGAGGAATCAATAAACCCTTTGCTGAAGCCATCCGAATGGGAGATCCCCGATGATTTGATGATTGTTAAGCCACCTATAATGGATAAACGTCAGCCAGACAGGCAAAGAAACACAGACCACATTCCATCCCAAGGCGAGGGTCCAATTATAAAAGAGTGTTCTACATGTGGTCAATTAGGACACACGAGAAATAATTGTACTGGAAGGGCGTACGGTAGCAGAGCAGGTCACATAATTCTACTGCAGAAATGGCATATAATATTGGTGGTTCAGCGGGTTGCTCACAAACCTATAACGCTGATTTTGATATAAAACAACCTTGAAATTAAGAGTAATGACGAGTTGTTAACTTATTATGTATTGTAATATTTTTATTAACTCTGACAAGACATTGCTATGCTTTCATATTTTAGTTAAGTTTGTTGATTATAACAATGAATGAAGCGTTTATATTATAAAATATAGTTTGCAGACTTTTTTTAACAGTTACAACATGTTATTTAAAAAAAATAACAAACGATCCTTTGGCAACCTAATCTGTTTCATGATAATATTACAACAACTTTGTAACTAATTTTTAAACTCAGGGAACTGCAATGGGTACTTCTCTTTCTCCATTGTTATATAGTCATCCCTAATTCTCATTTTGTCTTCGAAACGATCCTTTTTTACCATAATGTGTATCAACTGCTCATCCTTCTCAGCAATCCGTTTTTCAGTCGTTTTGATTGCCTTCTTACTCTTTTTTATCCAATCTTTATGCTCTTTGATTTTGTTTTTATTGAGGTCAATCCATTCTTGAGCTTGTTTGCATTCCGATTCAATATCATTAGCAAGTTGAGTGAGAAGTCGGGATGACTCTTTGTCCTCTTCTTGTTGTGCTTCAGCCTTCTTTAATTCTTCAAAATTTTCATGTGACATATATGGCCCAGCTGAAGAGGGTGTAAAAAAAGGGTCTACCGAATCACAGTAGTAACAATCTACTTCGTTGCATGAGCAAATTTCGAATTTGTGTGAGAAACTCATAATAAAGTCGATATTGTATTAAACTGGAGCAATAAGTGGTATTTATACATACTAGATAGTAATGAGAAGTCCAACTTTGAAATGACTAGACAGTAATGACAAGTCACTGTAGTAACCTGCACATCGCAGTGGGACCCTTAAGTGACAAGAGATAAATGACAGCTTGACATGACAAAACACTGCATAAAGCTGAAAATCGTAGTCCAAATATAACCATTTCGTAGTCAAAGTATTAATTCATAGTCTATTTATTTATATAAATAGATGTTTAAGATCTAAAAACCAAACACCCAAATCACCTAAATGAAACGAACTCCCATTATTAGAAATGTCGTCGAATGCAGCAAGTTCTTCGAATGAAGTACCTGGTTCCAATTCTGAAACGCCATGGACGACAAACGAGGTGTTAGTTATAACACGATGCTGGCTAAGTGTTAAGGATGGTGTATCATTCCTTGCTCCCCCGCATTGCCTAATTGGTGATGAATGGAGTCGCATCACATCTTTGTTTAACCATGAGATGGGAGAAGGACAAAAAAGAGAAAAATCAGATGTTGTTACTAAGTGGATGGATGTAAAGGAAGAAGTGACATGGTTCAATCGAGCATGTAGTTATGCGAAACGTAACAATGTTCGTTATCGTGACGAATAAGAGTTCTTGGAAGTTGTTACAGAGTTTTACATCTGTGAGCATGACGGCAGAGACTTCGAATATGAGGAAGTTTGGAAGGTTGTTAGAGATAAACAGTATTTCAAGTAGACCGCTCTAATTTCTGTTAAGAATAACCCATGGACTTGTGTTTTACGTTAATGCTTTGTTCGTATTACGTCGTTGTTTTTCATGTAATTGTTGTAATGTTTTTAATGGTTCATGGAATCCTTGTTACTAATGTATTCTAATTTATTGTGAAAACTAATGCAATGGCCATTTATTAACTCAAGTTAATCATACGAGTTGCTCACATAATAAACTAAAATATATTTTAAACAAATGAA